AGGGGAAAGGAAAGAAGGGAAAGGAAAAATGATGAGAAATAGAAAAAATGGAAATAAAGTCTTTGTAAATAGGGAAGGGTGGGGGGAGTGAAGGGAGGGCTAGGAATGGGGAAAAAATAAGAACCAAGATGCATTATGCTTTGCCCCTATGTTTTCTTCTAAGAGAAGATCTTTGTAGATCTGTTTAAGTCTTTGGTCCATTTTGAGTTAATTATTGTTTGTGGTAAGGGTCCAGTTTTATTTGTTTGCATGTATATATCCAAGTTTTAAGTGCCATTTGTTGGAAAGACTGTCTTTTCCCTGTAGCATGGTCTTGGAACCTTTGTTGAAAATCATTTGACCATGCAAGTAAGGTTTATTTTTGAACTCTATTCTATTCCATTCGTCTTTATGCCTGTCCTGCACTACTTTGATTATTGTCAATTTATAATTAAGTTATGAAGTCAGGAATTGTTGAGTCCTACAACTTTGTTCTTTTTCAAAATTATTTTGACCATTCGAGATCCTTTGGTTCTATGTGAATTTTAGAATGGATGTTTCTTTCTCTACAAAAATGTTATTGGAGTTATGATAGGGATTGCATTGAATCTGTAATTGCTTTGAATAATATTGCCACCATAACAATATTAAATCTTGCAGTTCATAAACTTAGGATATCCTTACAAATATTTGTCATCTTTAATTTCTTACATCAATTTTTTGGTTTTTATTGTAGAAGTCTTTCACTTTCGTGGTTAATTCCTAAGTATTTTTTTGATGTTATTGTAAATAAAATTGTTTTCTTAATTTCTTTTTTGAATTGTTCATTGTTACGTATAGAAACACAACTGGTTTTTGTGTGTTGGCTTTGAATCTTGCTACTTTTCTGAAGTACACAGCTCTGCAAGTGTTTTAATAACTCCCAGGCTGTTTTCCTTGCGACAGATTGTTTCCAAGTTGAAGGATGAAATACTTCTAATAGAGAAAGAACGTGCAGACCTTCAGCTGCACATGGCAAGAACAGACTGGTGGTGTGAGAACCTGGGCATGTGGAAAGCCTCCATTACCAGTGGAGAGGTAGGCTTCACTGCCTTGTTCCTCAATTTGTTTGAAAAGTTTGACTTCATAAGACAAGATTTTGTCCTTAGAGAATTAGGACTGAAGATGTTTATAAAAACCTCTATACTCATTATTAGAGACCACGTTTGTCCATGATCTGCCTTCCCTGTATTTTCACGCTGCTTTACCTATAACTGAGAACTGTCCCAGTCTGATCTCATTCCACCTCCCTGGAATTATAAGCAACTTTGATATCAGAGCATTTAATGACCACAAATTATTATTTATTAATTTTATTGATGATTTAAATGAAGATTACTTTTGGAAACTTGGAGATAAAAAATTCAAAATTTAAGTACCTATTATTCCATCCTGCTGACTTCAGTTGCTTAAATCTCAAAAGCTCTAAGACCTTTAACAGTGAATGTATTTCCTTAAAATTATTTAACTGTTCTTTGAGGGATTTGAGATAGCAGTTAGCAGAATACACTGTATCCTTTTCATTTATCTATAAAAATAATTTCATTCAGGAGGAAAGATGCTTATAAGCATTTACTGTACTTTGTTATTGTGGACAACTCCTTCCTCCCCAACTGGCTTATGTCAGTCAACTAGAAATCCGGAGATGAAAGTCATGTCTACCACAAATAAGATCACCAAAACAAGATCCCAAGCAAGATAGTGTTAAGTTTTTGCTTTTTCATAATTTCTGATGGCTTGTCTTTGTTCTTCTCTGCCATCATCTCAGTGGCTTGGTACTTATTCTGTGGAAAGGGCTCAAACTTGACAATCTTAACTTCACCTCTAGATAGATAGCAAAACAAAGCATGTTCTCCTAAGAGCTACCTTTAAGGGACATGCCAAGTGCCCCTGGCCCTTGACACACCAATTAAGTAGGGCAGTACACTTTTTTGTTTTTCTGGGGAAAATGGGCAGCAGTGGATTAGGGAAGGCTGTACTCAACCTTGGAATGCCATATAGAAAATATAATAACTGATAATTGTAGAGGGAGTTATTGTCTGGGAAGAAGTCTAGGAAGGTGGAAGCCTCAGGGTTATCTAGTGCTAAAAGGTAGTAGAGAAGGCCTAAGTGAAGGAAGAAGACAAATCTGTTTCAGCTTTTGCTTAGAGTCGCATCTGACATTACACGGCACATTACCATCATCTTCCAAAGCAGATATGGAGGGAAGGGAGGGAAGTAGTAGAGACCCTCACAAGGTACTTTGCCCTGATAAGGAGTCATTTCTCAGGAGTGTGCTATGGTACTTTGGTCATTGAAAAGGTAAGGGAGATCAAAAAAGAGGAGTTACCTGCCAGCTGTCACAAACTAGTCCCATACAGGAATGTGTGGAAGATGTGTTTATATCAAGCCAGGCTCTCCTGTGCGTGGGCCTAGGAAAGTCTGTTAACTGTCATAACCTCTACTTTCCCATTTGTGCAGTGGGGTAGCAGGCCCACCTCATGGGGTGCTCAGTAGAACTTGCATGTCCTTCCTTTGCTTTTCTTAATGTCCTTCTCTCTAAATCAATTTATGATACTCGTGCTCGCTTCTGCAGCACATATACTAAAATTTGTGATACAAACTCAGGCTCAAATTCAAGGTATTTTCTATTTGTTTTTATCTATTTAGGTTAAGTAATAGTGTCCAGGCCGGGGATTTAGCTCAGTGGTTCCAGCACCTGCCTTGCAAGTGCAAGGTCCCAAGTCCGATCCCTGGTATCAAAAGAAAGAGTAGTAGTGGCCTATTCTGAATTATGATGGCCAAGGGTAGAGGGCTATGTTTGTGTGTGTGTGTGTGTGTGTGAATTGTCTTAAGTTGGAGGATAAAGGAAATTATGTCTTTCAATGCAAAATTTAATGAGAATAAAAATCATGGTTCGTTGAATCTTGACATTTAAACTGGGGAGGCCTTCAGCTGTTCCTGAGAGAAGTTCTCATGTGTCTGATACTTCTTTGTTTGCTATAAATTCATTTTTTCAAGGAAACAGGATAATCATGCTTGTATTCATTTCCTTTTGCTGTATAACATTTTTTTTGGGCAAAACAGCATTCATTTATCAGCTCAAACTTTTACATGTAGAAATCCAGCACAAGGGTGGGGGATTTAGCTCAGTGGTTTCGCCGCCTGTTGAGCAAGCACAAGGACCCGAGTTCAATCCCCAGTACCCCTGCCCCCCCAAAAAAGAAATCCAGCACAAGCCAGGTGTGGTGGTGTACATGCCTATAATCCCAGCACTTGGGAGGCTGAGACAGGAGGATTGCTGCAAGTTCAAGTGCAGCCAGGGCTACAAACTGAGACTCTGTTTAAAAAAAAAAAAGCACAGTATGACTGAGTCCTGTGCTTATTATAGCAAAAGGTTGAAATCAGATGTTGACTGGTCATTCGAGAGATTAAGATGAAAACAACACTGAGATTCCACATCAACCCACAAAGAATGGCTGCTATCAAAAAATCAGCCAATAACAAATGCTGGCAGGGGTTGTGGGGAGAAAGGAACCCTTCTCCATGGTTGGTGGGAGTGCAGACTGGTGCGACCACTGTGGAAATCAGTATGGAGATACCTCAAAGAACTACGACTACAGGTCCCATTTGACCCAGCTATTCCCCTGCTGGGAATCTTCCCCAAAGAATTAAAAGAATCATACCACAGCGATATATGTGCACCTATGTTTATAGCAGCACAATTTGTAATAGC